TCCCAATTATTTCATTCTTTTCGATGCTATTATAAATAAGATTATTGGGACTTCTCTGGGGGTCCAGAGGCTAAGACTCCACACTCCCAATGCAGAGAAATTGGGTTCAGTCCCTGGTCAGGGAACTAGATTCCACATGCCGCAACAAAGACCTGGCACAAATAAATAAATAAAAATAAATGTTTTTTTAATTTAAATTTAGATCTTGACTATAGCTGTAGAAAAATAAAAAATAATTAGGATTGTTTTCTTATTTTCCTTTTTGGAAAGGTCATTGTTCATGCATGGAAAGATATCTGAATGTTGATTTTGTACCATGCAACCTTCTGTGCAGGTTTTTTTTGTGTGTGGAATTTTAAAGATTTTTGTGTACATAAAGTCGTGTCCTATGTGAACAGACACAATTTTACTTCTTTCTTTCCAAATGCAAGCCTTTTGTTTCCTTTTCTAACCTAATGCCCTGGCTAGGACTTCTAACATTATGGTGAATAGAAATGTTGAGAATGGGCACCCTTGCCTTTTTCCTGGATTTCAGAGAAGTTTTCAGTTTTTCACTGATGACTATGATGTTAGAGGTAGGCTTTTCATATATGACCTTTATTATATTGCAGTCACTTCCTTCTATTTCTACTTTGTTGAGTACTTTTGTCATGAAAGGCTAGTAAATTTATTGGATACTTTATGGGCATCAGATGAGACACAGATGAAGTGTGATTTATTTTTTTTAATTCTAAGAAAATTGTGCAGTGCTCCCGGTGGAAGCACAGGAGCTGATGCTACAGAAACCACCTTCCCTTCCTCCTCCGGCGATCCTTGTCCCTGTCGCGCTCCGGCTCAGGGTCCTGTGTCCTGAGTTAGAAAGCCGAGTGCGGAAGCACTTGCCAACCGAAACACTGGTTCTCATCACTCTTTAGGCAAACCTTCTCCAGTGGCCTTCAGAGTGGAGCACAGTAAACACCGGAAGGTGAGTATTTCCCAAATCCTGTTGCAAAAATGTCCTTCTCATGAATCCAGTCACAGGTGAGAATAGGAGAAAACAGAGATCCTGGAGACTGCGGCCTTCCTGTCCTGAATCTTTAGCACACTGTCTGATATCACCACCATCTTTATAGCTAGTAAGAACAACAACCATAGTAGCCTGTTCTGTTGTTACATTATTTTCACAATATTTCAGACTTTAAGCATTTTATGTGAATAAACTTACTTAAACCTTAAAACAATCCTATAGTACCTATAAGTAGGTATATAGCTATCACCATTATAGATCACAAAACTGAGGTAAAAAAAAAAATGACTGATTATATGCCCGAGATCACAGTATCACGCGTAGTGCAATCTAATCCAAAGCACTTTTTCTGAATTCCTTACAAAATGATTAAAACTTCCATAGTTCTATGAAGCTTATTCATACATCTTTATATCATCCATCTGAGAGATGTTTTCAACCTCAGCTCTTTTGTGCTGTGCTAGGGAGGGATATGCTAAGACATTTGACTAAGGGAAGCTTAAGGACAAGCTGGGCAGTTTGTAGAGTGGACAGTCCAAAATGAAGAAGCTTAAGGATATGCTGGGCAGTGTATAAAGTGGACAGTCAAGGATGAAGAAGGTGACAGGGTCCCTACCTCAGAGCCTCCCACTCCAATAAGAAGAAGCAACTCACAACCCTGACAAGCCTGAGGTTTATGACTGAAAAGCAACAAATAAAAAAATAACTGAAGGACTTCACTAGGTTACCCGCTTTTGAGTAAAAACTCATCATCTGGGCATGATTTCAAATGCTCATTCTTACAGGAAGGAGTAACAAGTCCCTCTCCTGAGCTCTGATTAGGCAACTCTCCTGTTTGGAATCATTTGTTTAGCCTACCCCTCTGTTGTGAGCTTTGAGAGCCTAGTCCATACCTGTTAATTCTCAGAAGTCCAGGCCCAGCTCAAAGCCCCTGAGGGCCCCTGAACGTTTTGTGAATGAGTGACTCCACACTTAAACATTCATCTAGGAGTAAGAAAGTCAAGGATGCTGAAGATAGTATCTGTGAGATAGATTGCAAATATAGATATAGTTGAAGGGATAAATTGATGGCAGGAATGTACACTCATTCATACTGTATTAAATAGCTCACACAACAATTTGTTGAAATGTTATTAAATTTCATGTCCACTGTAACCCTAACCCTAACCCCTAACCCTAACCCTAACCCCTAACCCCTACCCTAAAGTTAATGTTAAAGTTAAGTCACTCAGTCAGTGACTTAAGTCAGTCAGTCATGACTCTTTGCGACCCCGTGGACTGTAGCCCACCAGGCTCCTCCGTCCATGAGATTCTCCAGGCAAGAATACTGGAGTGGGTTGCCATTTCCTTCTTCAGGGGATCTTCCCGGCCCAGGAATCGAACCCAGGTCTCCCACATTGCAGGCAGACACTTTAACCTCTGAAACACTAACCCCTAAACCTAACCCTAACCCCCAACACCCAACACCCTACCCCTAACCCCTAACCCTAAGCCTTAACCCCTACCCCTTCCCCCTAACCCTACCCCTGACCCTGACCCTAACCCTAAACCCTAACCCTAACCCTAAATCTAACCCTCTAACCCTAACACCCGAACCCAAACCCGAACCCTAAACCCGAACCCGAACACAGGAACAGGACAGAAATCCCAGAATCCAACCCTCATGGATGCAGTCACACGAAAAAGTGACAAGGGGAGGCCAGCCCCAAAGAAACAGTGCTGGAAAAACTGGACACCACATGCCAAAGACGGACCCTGGATACCATTTACACCGCACAGAAAACTCACTGAAACAACTTTCCACACCAAGGCCTTCTGGGTCGCCTGAAGAGCTGTGGGTTGCACACAGGAAGCTTCTACTCACTTCTCCGTTTTTCCTCACCTTCTTCTCCTTTCATCAGGAAACCCAGTCCCCACTACTGTGGACGCTACCCCATGTTACCCTGAAGCCAAAACCCCAGCGAGTCCGAAGAAGCCTGAGCTCCTGTCAGCAGAGACGCTGACGGGGCGTCCCAGCAGAAACCCCAGGCGTGCCTGAGGAGCCCCAGCTCCTCCCAGCGGCGCTCCCAGCTAAGGCCACAGGGAACACGCATGCGCCGTGGGTCAGCGAAGCGGGCTCAGCGCCACCCCGTGATCAGTATGGGAAGGGCAGGCCCTGCCTACCTCCCAGTTCACCGGACACAGGGCTTTCCTGCTGGCAGAATTGCTGAATCCATTGTGCTTAGTCCCTCAGTCGTGCCCGACTCTTTGCGACCCCATGGACTGTAGCCCGCCAGGCTCCTCTGTCCATTTAGATTCTCCAGGCAAGAATACTGGAGTGGGTAGCCATTTCCCTTCTCCAGGGGATCTTCCCGACACGGGAATGGAACCGGGGTCTCCTGCATTGCAGGGAGATTCTTTACCAGGTGAGATACCAGGGAAGCTGGCAGAATTGCTGAATCTATTAACCTGTGGAAATTCAAATATCCCATAACTTTTCCAAACTAACTAAAGAATACTTACTTGGATTCAAGATTACCAGGGGAAATATCAATAACCTCAGATATGCAAATGATACCACCCTAATAGCAGACAGCAAAGAAGAACTGAAGAGTCTCTTGATGAAGGTGAAAGAGGAGAGTGAAAAAGCTGACTTAAAGCTCAACATTCAAGAAACTAAGATCATGACATCTGGTCCCATCACTTCATGGTAAATAGATGGGGAAAAAATGGAAACAGTGACAGACTTTTTTTTATTGAGCTCCAAAATCACTGCAGATGGTGACTGAGCCATGAAATTAAAAGACACTTGCTCCTTGAAGAAAAGCTATGACAAACAGACAGTATATTTTTTAAAAAGAGACATCACTTGGCCAACAGAAGCCCATATACTCAAAGCTATGGTTTTTCCAGTAGTCATGTATGTGAGTTTCCAGATGTGACTTAGACCATAAAGAATTCTGAAGAGAAAGGTGCAACAGAGGATGAGATGGTTGGATGAGACAACATTGACTCAATTGACATGAAAAATCAACTTACTCAAAAATTTTTATAGACAAATTTTAAATGCAAAACTACTCAAAATTATAGATTTTGTCATATAGATCATGAGCTTTGAGTTTTAACACAACACAAAAAGGCAATCCACAAAAAAAGAGCAAGGAATTTCATGGACTTTATAAAATTTAAGATTTCTACTCTGTGAAAAGCCATATTCAAAAAATCAAAATACAAGCCACAAACTGGAAGAAAAAATTTTTGTCAACACACATCTAATAAAGACTCTGCTTCAAATATGCAAAGAACTCTAACACAAACAACCCCATTAAAAATAGGCAGAGATATGAACAAACACCTGGTCAAAGAAGATGTACAGTTAGTATACAAAAATATACTCAACATCATACACCATTGCTACTAAGTCACTTCAGTCATGTCCAACTCTGTGCGACCCATCCCTGGGATTCTCCAGGCAAGAACACTGGAGTGGGTTGCCATTTCCTTCTCCATCATACACCATGAGGGAATTACAAATTAATACAACAAGAAGATATCCCTGTGCCCCTATTAGAACTCTTGAATTTTATCCCTCTTGAAATCTTGTGGCTGGGCTAATAATAAAATTGACACAAGACAGATCAAAAGAGGAAAAAGAAACAAATGTAATACCTGCACACAGAGGTCTCCTAGAAATGAAACCTAAGTAGTCAAAACAGGCAGGAAAAAACACTCACATATGGAATGATGTCAAAGGAAACAGGAGCCAAAGGAAAAGAAATATATCAACAGTCAAAACAGAATAAACTGAGCAACCAAATACTGTAGTGCTGGATTATAACCAAAAGCTTAACCTAACTATCCAAGTATCCACACTAGTAAAAATTAATGGTTGCACAGGTATTTTATCAATGGGATTGGATAGAAATCTTCAATGCAGGAAAATTCCAGAGACTTGATGGGGTTAAACTTAAATATCGGGAGATGAGACCAGAGGCCAAGCCAGAGATCTGACTAAATGACTGGGCTGCCCTGCAGGATTATCAGGAATCCTAGCGTTTGCTGGCAGAACCACATGAGAGCAATGCCCATTGTTTTCATGTGGTCATTGCTGACCCTCAGGAATCCCCCTGAGAAAGGGATTTTTAAAGTTGAATTATTCCTTCCAGAAAAATACCCAATGGCAGCCCCTAAAGTACATTCCATGACCCAAAATTATCATCCTAATGTAGACAAGTTGGGAAGAATGTGTTTAGATATTTTGAAAGATAAGTGGCCCCCAGCACTGCAGATCCACACAGTTCTGCTATCACTCCAGGCTGTGTTAAGTACTCCCAATCCAGATGATCCATTAGTAAATGATGTAGGAGAGCAATGGAAGACCAAGGAAGCCCAAGCCATAAAGACAGCTAGAGCATAGACTAGACTATATGCCCTGAATAATATTTAAATTGACCTGATCATCAAGTGCACCACTTCTCCTGTTGTGCCAAGATTTCTTCCCCCCCACTTTCTGTGTTTAATGAACACAGAAACATTACAGAATAAAAACCCAGACATCTTCAGTCCTTTGGTGATTAAATGTATATTAGCAAATCTATGTCTTGTCCTGATTCACTGTTGTAAAGCATGAACAGAGCCTAGAAGTATCATCTGGATTGTTGCAAAACATTTAAAAGCAATGGCCCCTCTCTGCTTTTATTCGTTTCCCCCTTCATAGTGTAAGTATAAAGCGCTGGAAATGAACTGGGCTTCCCAGCTGGTGCTCATGGTAAAGAACCCACCTGCCAATGCAGGAGACTTAAGAGACTAGGGTTTGATTCCTGGGTTGGGAAGACCCCTGGAGGAGAGCATGGCAACCCACTCCAATTTTCTTGCCTGGAGAATCCCATGGACAGAGAAACCTGGTGGGCTATAGTGCATAGGGTTGCAAAGAGTTGGACACAACTGAAGCAACTTCGCACGCACGCACTGCAAATGGAGGTAGTTGTCAGGGTTAGCTGCAGCGGTGTGGGTATTTTTCTTTACTTTATTATTATTATTATTTTTGTCAAGGGGAAGGTCATTTTATTTCAATTTTATGGGCTCCTTTCCTCATTTTTATGGTGCTCTAATTGCGTTTGTTAAAAGCAGCTAACCAGTTCTTTTGAATACTCTCTCTAGCTTCATTTAGATGCCATAGGTGGCAAGTTCGATTGTTTAAACCAAAATGGGAACAGTAAACATCACAGCCCTCACTAATAACATTGTGACCCTGCCGTCAAGTGTAGAATTCTCCCTTCAAGAAAAAGCTTGTGATCATTTTGTATGGCCTATTTGGAAACTTCTGTAAACCTTATGTTTTAGTAAAATATTTTTGGTTATTCTATTTCTAAAATAAATAAATAAATAAAAATCTCGTATGCAGGAGAACTTTAAATAAATGATAGACACATTCAGCCACCCACCAAGGGGGTGGAGCTACAATCCCTCTCCTCAAGTGTGGGCTCCACATAGTGACTTTCTCCTGTCAAGGCCATTGGAAAAAGAGAGGTCTAAGAAACTGTCAAGGACAAGGAAAGTTAAAGAGTCTGATGACTACATATCATGTGGTGCCATGGATGGAAGCCTGGAGCAGGAAAAGTTTGAATGAAAGTGTTAGTCATAGTTGTGTTCAGCTCTTTGCAACCCCCACCAGGCTCCTCTGTCCGTGGAATTCTCCAGGCAAGAATACTGGAGTGAGTTGCCATTCCCTTCTCCAGGGGATTTCCCCTACCCAGGGATCAAAGCCACATCTGCATTGCAGGTGGATTCTTTACTGTCTGAGCCACTAGGAATGCCCATAGTAAGGTATCAATATTTGTTCATTAGCTGCAAGTATTACATTTAAAAAAAACTGAAAGGAGGAGAATGAGGAAGAGGAAATGAGGAAATGAGTGATTTACTAGTAAATCACTAGTAAATTTAATTTACTAGTAAAAACACACATTAACAAGATGGACTCTAAAATACAGAAGATACAAACCAATTAACTCTTTCCCCCACTGGTTCTCCTCTCATTATTCTGGGATTTTCTGTTCCTGGGACAGGGAAGGAACAGAACATCTCCAAACAGGAGATGTTTGGCAGGCCCCCTAAGATCTCAGCCCACCCAACGTCTTCACCTCCCCCAGATGTGCCCCACCCAATGCGGACACCATGCAGCAGGAGACTCAGAGAGTATTGGTTATTGTGAGTCAGCAAGGATTTTTCTGATCCCTAGGGACTGGACATACTTCTGAAGTAAAATAATTTAATATATTTTAAATGGTAGAAATAAAGTAGTATTTCTAAGTGGCAAGTTTAAGAGCAGGCTCAGACCTGGCAGGTCAAGGCGCTCACACTCTCACAGTGTGACCTGGTCCCTCTCCAACCCTTTGTCCTGCTATATGACTCTGGGGGGCCCCATTCACAGGCACGGTTTCACTCACTGTCTCTAGGGCCTACAGCAACTCCAGGCTGACACCACTCACCGTCCATGCTACTAGAAAAGGTTTCTCCTTCCCTTGTGTTCCATTGAAAGCCACGGCTTTAAATGCCATTGGTCTAACTTGGGTCATATTATCATCCTTGAACCCATTAGAGCACCCAGAGGACAGAACATAGGATTCTCTAGATGTGGATTATATGCCCATCTTCAAGGTGGGTGGAACATGGGGTCAACTCGCTGAAAACATTCATATTAGACGCAGGTAAGAAGTTCCCTAAGGAAAGCTGAGGTTCCAGGCTTTGACTCAAGAACATGCTGGCTCGAGGAAAACAGCAGACTCCACATCACTGACAGCCCACGGAACAGCTGTGGGACGTGAAGCCCAAGGAAGGAGGGTTGACTGAGGGTCAGGAGCTGCAGCCACCCGTCCAGTGCCCTTGTGGTTGGTCCTCCCTTGACAGCAAGAAGCCCTTCCACTTGGAAAAGGCACAGACCTCACTCGGTGGGAGCCTAGGAGTCACACCTGCCCCAAGCCACATTACCTACCCAGCCCCCAAGAGCAATACTGCTCATTTATCCAGTCTCCTCCCTCTCTTAAAAAGAGCAGAGACTACTTGCTCAGTGAAGCAGTCGGAGGCTCAAGGTTGCTCCACATCATGGAATCCAGGACTGGCAGCTCTCAGAGCCTACATGGGTGCACGTGGCTCCCCAAGACCCAGCAGCCTCAGCGAGAACCTCCCCTGAGGAGGCACAGCTGCCCCCATATCTTTGAGTCGTGATGAGTAATGACTGTCAAAATCTGTGACACCTGGCAGGCCAAAGGATTGCAGGGCCATGGTCTGCTGGACGGTTTTTGTGAGCAAGGACACACAAATGTTTAGATTGCTATTGCCTTTCTTGACAGGCTGCAAGGCTGTGAGAGGGAGACCGTTTTCTCAGTCACATGGATGTTGGTAACTGAAACATCCCAAGGGGTTGTCCACACTGCCCAGGTAGCTGTTCAATGGCCCAGAAACACGGTCAGCTCAATAACTGGAGACAGGGGCTTGACAGGGACCAGGATTGCCTGAGCTGGTGGACCACGGATGACTGCCTGAACGGTCAGAGGTCAAGGGCTGTCCTGAGACTTGATGTCCACTGATGCCCACTCTAATGGGACAGGGGATGCCTGTGGTCCCAGAAGGGCCCCACAAGCACTCAAGAGGCAGCACCTGAGGGTTGGTCAGTCGCTGCACCAAGATCTGTATAAATTCACACATGACCACTGAATGCCTTCAGTCAGGCCTGTGCTGAGCCTGGTGCCGTCCAGCCAGAGTGGGGCAGGCACTGCCCTCCCCAGGTCACATGGTGGGAGGAAACCCTGTGGACAGTAACAACCTGCTGAGGCCCTAACAACCACTGACTGAGGCTGAGTTGGATTTGACACTGTTGGTGACCAGAACAGACATTTCACTCCTCTGCCCCAGATTTCAGGACTCAGAAGTGACGACCAGCACTCCAGGTCAACCGCACCCCCACAAGCAATCCAGGGAGAGTCCTGTTCATCCCAGAGGCCTCAGAGTTATGGAGGAGAGGGAAAGGGGGCATGGACCAGTTATGCTTAACCCCAACATTATTACACTAACTCAAACACCCAAACCTCTACCATTAACTCTAACACTAACACTAACCCTTTAAACCTACCTTCCTACCCCTAAATCTAAACCCTGCTACTGCTACTGCTACTGCTAAGTCACTTCAGTCGTGTCCGACTCTGTGCCCTAATACTCCTTAATCCCTTGCCCCTAGATGCTGGACTTAGCCCCTAGACTTCCAACCCTGACCCTGACTCAGACCATCTAACCTAACCCCTGACACTGACCCTCTAACCTGCATCTTTTAACTCTGGTTCCTCAAAACCTCATCCTCTTACTGTTCCCTCTAATTCTGTCCCTGACCTTCCAACCCTGACCTTGACCCTACCTTCTAACCTTGAGCACTGAGCCTGAATTTCTATCCTTAATCTTGATCCTCTAACTCTGAACCTTACACTACTCCCTAACCCTAACCTCTGACCTGACCATTGTCCTACATCACCCTTGACTCTAAACATAAGCCCATATCAGAACAGGCTAAAAATTCGAACCCTACTCCAATCCCTTTTTCCAGTATAATCAGAACCATAATGTTTATTTTTGTGTGAACCTAGTACTGCTCACTTATGTCTTTTCTAAATGAACTCTAAACTGAACAAAATCTTTATTTTTATACCCACATAACCCTATATTGTTAGTGGTTATATGGACAAACCCTTTGCCTAAACCTAATCCTAAGCCCTAATTCTTAACCCTAACTCTTAACTTACACCGACCTCAACCCCAAACTTAACTCAAATCTAACAGTGTCACTGTGACCTCTAACCACTAATGTAGCTAACAGTCACCCCAAACCTCAGCCAATGCCTGCTCATCCCCAACCTTAACCTACCCACCACTATATTCCTAACCCTAAAAAACAACCACATCCCCTGTAAGGCCTTACCCTGGCTCCTTCAGCCACAGGTTTACCTGGATCCTCACTCCGAAGCTGAGCTAATCCTTGCATCTTAACCAGGCCCTAAGCAAGTTGAAGAGGTTTTTCAGCCTCTTCTGAGCTCTGCTCACTGTGTACTCAGCCACATGCCCACGGAGACAGCTCATACGTCTGCCTCCACACCCCTTGTATACATCACCCAGCAGCATGGTGGGGTTCTGTTTTTGATTTTTTGCTAAGTTTTATTTTAATCCAAGGACTTTGCTTCATACAAAATGTCATTGTAGAAACAACAGTGGAATCCAAAGTTTGGCTGATAAATATTACTCAGGCAGCAAACTAGTCAATCACAGAATTTTTTTAAAAGCGAGTCCCAGTTGTGTTGCATGGTTGGGACTCTCTTTTTTTTTTAACACTGTTCTTAAATATAAAGTTTTGCAACAAACCTT